TGTCTGTAATTTCAGAACTCAAGAGGCTGAGGCAGGAGGATCACTGAGAGTTTAACACCAGCCTGAACTGCATAGCAAAATCCCATCTCGAAAAGGCAAAATTTTTTTTTAAATGTTTGAAACCCCCCAAAAGAGTTTCCTTTCCTCTAATATCAAGAGTTTACTATTTCAATGGCTTCTTGAAAGAGTAAATTATACATGACATCCCAGAGGCTTGCACAATAAAGAGAACTTCTTTCTCTCCTTCCTGGAACTTGGTATTTGGCTCTTCCTAAGAAATGTTTTCATTACAAAGTTCTTACTTAAAATATTCAGTGCTAAAAAAATATTCAGTGTTTAGCCATCAGGTGGCTTATAAGTTATAAACAAGAATGTACTCCAGGGAACTGGAGAACTCAGGAATGTGGAAGTGTCTTAGGATATGGTACTTGTCTCACCAAGCCTCTGGTTTACATTACTGCCAAAGCTTCTGGGCAGCTCAGCCACATCCACACATCTATATGCTAGTTTACTGGCATTAAAAAAAAAAGTTTAAATATTAAAAGTGGATGTTTCTGGGGAAAAGGACCAAGATTACAAAAAGAAAGGTCATACAGCTCAGTATAGGGCACTTGCCTTGCATGTGTGAGGTGGCATCAAAACAATCACAAGAATTTCAGGCACAAATAGCAAAACGCTGAGTTTCTGATCAACTAGGTATATATTGAATGACTGAAGAAATGGCCAGGTCTTTTCTCAAAGTGGCTGTGCCCGCTTCCTTCCCACCAACCATGTGTGAGACTTCAGCTTGCTCTCTATCCTCATTCACGTTACTTGGGGGGGGCACCTAGAATCAAACTCAGGACCTTGTGCTTGCCAGGTAGGCGCTTGTGCTGCTGAGCTATGTCCCCAGCCCCTTCATTCATTTTTGGTGACTTTTTAACATTTTATCCACTGTAGTGAGTTTGTATATGTTGTGGCTTTGGTTTACATCATTTGGTAAGGAATAATGCCAAACATCCTTTCATGTGCTTATCGGACATTCTTACATTCATATCTGCATTTGTGATATTTCTATTCAAATGATTTTGTTTTTAAATTAGATTGTCAGGCTAGGGAGATAGTTTGGAAGTCTAGGTGCCTGCCTGGCAAGCACAAGGACCCAAGTTCCATCCCCAGTACCACATGCTGTGCCGGCCAGCCTCGAAACCAAGCATGATGGCACACGCTGTAATCCCAGCAGTGAGGGGGCTAAGACAGGTGCATCACTATGAGTCTGAACAGCATAGCAAGATCTTATATCAAAAGAAAAAAATA